GTTGGCTTTGGTCCCTTGCAAAGATGAAGTTTCTGAGGTTCAAATGTCTCCTCTTGCTCCAGGGTTCTTATATACCCTCCCCAGAGGGCGTTGACCCGACCAATTGGCTTCTTTCCTGGTTCTCGTTTATGTTCGTGTTTCCATTATCCTGTAATTGGCCTGCCATTTAGATGCCTGTAAAGAGTCCCTATTTCTGCTAATTACCTTTTATTTGAATTCATTGCCAAATCTTAACTGATTACACTTGCTGTTTGTCACTAGGACACAAGCTTTATGACATATCACAAAAGGCTTCTACAATTACAGTGTCACCACCAGGCTGCAGTGGACCACAGGGGCATGACAGTAATCTGCAGAATGCTGCTCTCCCTCACGCTTTAACCTTCTATTCTCTTTGTCCCCTTTTCTATCAGGGACAACTGATTATTGTATCTTTTTCTATCAGCTTGATGAGCTGTTTATTTTTTGAAGAGATGAACTGTATTTCTGTATTTTAGTTACTGTCCATGAGCATCGAGGAACTTGAAGCTCAATGCTGCACTAAAGAGGTCTGATGAGAAATATGGACAAACTTTACAAATAATTATTATTTTTATGTAAAATATTACATATTCATTAAAAATTGAAAATGTAAAAGAGCATAAAGGCATCATCCGGAAACATCTGTTGGTATTATACAACACACATATAAATATGATAGCATTATTTTTGACTATATGAAATCATTCATTTCTATATTTCTGGAATCATTTTATATATATTCTATAATTTACCTTCTTGCATAAGCTCATATATTCCTTTATCCTGCATTCCTGATTTTTGGTGTTTACTAGTATTTATCAGTAATTGAACTTTTGGGTACTTTAAGATTTTATGTTATTAATTATTTGCTTTTCACTAACCTCAACCTTTTTCTTTGATAGCTGTGCCAATAGAGATTAGAGATTCTCTATATGAATCTTTGTGCTTGTTTCTGATTATTCTGAAGTAGAAATATTTACCAGATAGAGTTATGGGGACAAATGTAAATGTCCAATAATTTCAAAGCCTTTAATATTCATTACACTAATGCTCCCCAGTACTTTTTCAGTTGTGTTTGGTTTGCAAACATTTTCAAAGTCTTTTCCAATTTGCAAGATGAAAGATGACATTTCATTTTTTCTTTTCTCCCATAGCAAGTTAGGCTGACACAGGCTCCCCTCACATCCTGGACATTTGCCTCCTATCATGAATCATCCCTGATTCTGTACTGTTGCTTTGGTTCCTTGACTGTTCAATGAGTAACAAAACACTTGAGTTCTCGATCTTTACGTAGAATAAAAATGGAACACTAAATGAAATAATAAATTGTGACTACAAATTTAGAATCCAAGTAAAGCCGATCACAACAGAAAGCAGACTTATGGGCGACGGATTTTAATTTCTTGTCCCGATTGCTAAAAACTCAAGTCTCCTTCCAGTGTACCATTGAGACTCCAGATACACTTCAGTGCTTAAGAGCAAGTGCTGAGTGTGTTCCTGGACCATGTTTGGAGCCAGAGGAACTCTGCATTATTGTCTGAAGAGTACTGGCTACCTCCCTTGTTATTTTAAGCAATTCACTTTGGGGAGCCTTGCCATTCTTTGCTGCAAAGTGAGGGCAGTAGCATGTACATTCTCTTACTTAAAAGACCACTGTGAACCTCACGTAAGATGAAAAGAGTTTAAAGTCCGTGGTATGCAAAGATGAGCTCCATGATTATTGAAATAAGGTGAAGATCACACAAGGCAAAGTAAAGATAAAAGAAATAGTCACAGAAGGAGGAGGGAGGCACTCAAGTAAGAGAGACACCTCAGACAAGACAGCGACACTGATCTTAGAGTTCATGCTAGTTAAGTAAGTGAAGTGTTAATGTCTGAGAGCAGAGAAAATGGTTGGCATACACACTAAGTTACGGTAATACCCTGATTTATCACTGAATGAATAGGTACTGAATTGCACACTGGGTTGCTTAGGGAAAATGGATATTTCGTGTGTGTGTGTGTGTGTGTGTCTGTACTAGGGTTTATGTGTGCACATGTGTGTGGAAGCCAGAGGACAAATTCCATTGTTTTTCCTTACACGCCATTTACCCTTTCTTTTCTCTTTCCTTTTCTCTTTCCTTCCTTCCTTCTTTCTTTCTTTCTTTCTTTCTTTCTTTCTTTCTTTCTTTCTTCCTTTTTAAAAAAAATTTATTATTTTAGTTTTTTATGTGCACTAGTGATTTGCCCATCTGTATTTATGTGTGTGTGTCTGGTGCCCACAGAGTCTAGAAGGGAGAATCAGACATCTGGAACTTGAAGAACAGCTGGTTATGTGAGCGAGCTGTCATGTGGGTGCTGGGAACTGAACCTAGATCCGCTGCAAAAACAGCAGGTCCACTTAACTTCTGAGCCATCTCTCCAAGCTTCTACCTTTTCATTTTGAGATAGTCTTTCACTGGTCTGGAACTGCTCAAGGAGGACACCTGGTTGGTTAGTGAGCTTCAAGCATCCCCCTGCCTCCACCTCTTCAGCACTGTGATTACAAGTCTGTGCCACAACACCCAGTTGAATTCTAGCAATCAGACTCAAGTCCTTGCGTTTTCAAGGCAAATAGTTTGCCAAATAAACTATCTCCTCAGCTCTATCTCATTCACTAAAAAAAATTAGTGACATAGTCATTTATTGAAGAGCAACGCCAGGCTCAGTGAGCAAAATGAACTTTATCTCTGTCCTTGTGGAATTTGTAGTCTGTTGGAAAGGCTTATGATAATATATTATAAATTGCTGATATTATGAATCATAACTGGGAAGGATAGATTACGTTCTTAGTGCAAATAGCAAAGGGCAGGATCTTACTCTGACATTTTCTGGAGACAGAAAAAAAAATGGTCATCAGACTTTCAGGGCTGAAAGATGCCAATTTCTTATTCAGTGTATTGTTCCTTTGTATCTACAATAAAAGACTGTGTGTGTATACATATTATATAGAATAAGTTTACACATCCAGTACATGTGTGACATATATGCACATATTCTTTGTAGGCCCAGTAAAGGGTTTTCTCTATCATATAAGTTTGTATGTTTATAAAATCATCTAATGGATTTAACTAGCCAATATCCCTCCTTTCTTCCTTCCTTCCTTCCTCCCTCCCTCCCTCCCTCCCTCCCTCCTTCCCTCCCTCCCTCCTTCCCTCCCTCTCTTCCTTCCTTCCTTCCTTCTCTCCTTCCTTCCTTCCTTTCTCTTCTTCTTTCTTTCTTTTTCAGACAGACTATCCCTGTGTTGCCCAGCCTGGTCTTGACCTCTCTATCCTCCTGCCTCAGCTTCCTCATCTTTGGAGGTACTGGCACATTTCCAGCTTTGATAGAAGTTTTACCTCTAGCTCTCAGTCTGTCATCCCAAAGCATCTGGCATCCTATTGACTACTGGGCTATCACCTCTGTGATAGCAGGTGGCAAACAAAGCGTGTGTTAGTGCCTGGTGCTAGAGTTAAAAATAAGATTGAAGTGACCCAGCTCTTACAGCTGAATATTTGTCAATTTTGATTAGAGCCAATTTACCCCCTATTGGTCAAAATTGGATGTCATGATTTTGTTGATTTTTTTTTATTTTTCACATTTTTTCAGGCATGTTTTGAATCTGTGTCAAAGCTGCTGATTAGTTTCTTCATCTCTTTATGTTCAAGGCTTTATGATGTGGGAAAGAAGTGACCTTTTGAGTCAGACATGCCAGGGATTAAATTCTGCCTGCCTTAGTAACTAACTTTTTATAAATTTGAGAACATTTAACAACAAATAAACAACTTTTCCCATATCATTATGTAGTGTTGTTTTGAGGATTCGATGAGTCTGAGAGAAAGGAGAGAAGATGGACGGTGAAGACAGACAATAAGTTAGGAAGGTATGCCAGCAAGCTAGCTCTGGTGATGCCTTCATTGGAACCTTCAATAATGATGATGATAAGGATGAAGATGATGATGATGATGATGATAAAAGATAATCTGTTAAGCATAAGAAATGTATCCCAAACACTAACATAAATAAAGAACACTTATGGCCAGGGAAATACGATTTATTAGAAGACCCATCAGGAAATTATTTTGCTTCTGAAAATACTCAATACAGAAAATAAGATCCCAGAAGCAACGTGGCCCAAACCCCCATAGTTTGAAATCATAAAGATTTTGATAACACTTTCATAATGGAAAGTGTTTCACCTGTTGAAATCAATCAGATGACTATTCATCTGGATCGCATAAGCAAATTCTTGATTTCTTGCCCTTAAAAACAAAGATAGGGTTTCCATAGCCTAGGTCATCTGCCTACTTTAACATTGTGACAACTACTGAGACAAGCGGACAGTGGTTAGGCAGCTCCTGGAGTCTTCAGTATGAGGTAGGGAGGCACAGGTCAGCAGCACCTTGGGACGCAGGGGTCCTCACAGCCTGGCTGCACATAGGTGGTGAGGTTGACAGTCAGCAGGTCTGGGGTGGGATGGCAGGAGTTGAGCAGGAAGCAGGTGGGCACACAGGGCTGAGGGATGTGGCAGGGTGGGGGACAGTTGTCACAGCAGGTGGGCTCCAGTTGCCAAATGGTGTGTGGGCAGGTGCTGGGCAGGCAGACTCCACAGCGACAGGACTTGTCTGAGGAGCAGATGGTGGTGGCAGGTCCTGTGGGGACACTGCAGCAGCGGGCGACACAGCAAGCCATGGTGTTGGAGTCTGGTTGGCTTTGGTCCCTTGCAAAGATGAAGTTTCTGAGGTTCAAATGTGTCCTCTCAGTCTGAACTGTTTTATACCTTCCCCAGAGGGTGTGAGTCCAATGAGAAGGCTTCCCTCCTGTCCTGTTTTTGTTTGTGACACCCTTTTCCACTGAGATTATCTAATCAGTTTGGCATTTTCTTGTCTATTAAAAGTCCCTGCCCTTTTTAATTCAATTGGAGTTTTGACTCATGGACCTGACATTTTGTCATAAGACCATCAGAGTTTACAGAATTCTGGGCATGCCCAATCTAGTATGAGTTATGTGTAATTTGACCAAGTGACAACTCATGGACACTTTTAGGGTTTAAAATTTCTCAGCTCTTCTTAGTTTACAATAATATGCAGCATATGATGTTACATGTATTGAAAAGTTTTAGAGAAATTAATTCAAATGATTAATTGGATATTTTCTCATTCAGCGAAACCATCGAGAATATGGCCACTTATCTACAAATATTTCATCTGACAATGTACATTTCAAACATTTCCTTTGTTTATTGATAATGGAATTCAAGCTCTCCTGAGCAGGCAATGGGGCAGAATGTTGTGGAGCTAGGTTTTTTATTTTTTTATTTTTGATTGTTTAAAATAAATCTATAGTACACATTTTTGTTTTATTTTGTTTTGTTGTTTGTCTGGAGACCTTTCAAAGGTGGTGTTACATTTTATTTTCTCACAGTTTCTTTATTCCTAAAAGGGAGCCAAAGTATAAAAATCATTGGAATGAGTAAAAAGTTTCCTTTGCTTTCCTTTATTAGATGTCATGAAAGGAAACCTATTCTTGTTATCATTCATTTTCATGTGAATGACTCACATATTTTAAAGTGGGGCAGAATGGGATCCTACCAGAGAAATCATATGATTCCCAGAGTTAGCAGATGTCAATGCAAGGAAGAATGAGAGACTCCATTAAAAATCATCTGTGAGGGACTTTCATCTGCATATGTGTTTGTTTTCTCCCCTTCGAGCTTTAACTGAATAGTACATTCCTTTGAGAGGCCTTCTACAACATCCCTCGCCTCAGCTGGTCTGGGTTTGTCCTGTAGGCTGAAGGAAGACACAACAATGCCTAATGTTCTGACATCTTCATATAAATCTTCAGCACAAATCCCTCAGCTGGTGGAATCAAAAGCACAGATTTTTTGGATGACAAATCAATATTGGTTAAGTGCCGAGTACAGATTCCCTGGTGAGGTGTTGTTTCACCCAACATGACATGTCTAACAGAAGAAGGAAAACGGAGAAAGCATTAGAACATGATGTTACTGTGAAGTGCTATGCTTGACCTGTAGGAAGAGCAGGTGGCTTGCCTAATATTTGGATAGCATGCTTCTTCTGTGAATAAAAATGTGCTGTCTGTCATTGCACTCAGGTTTTTGCATTAGCTGCAAATTTCCTGTTCTCATTCTCTGCTTTCCAAACCTACTCATTTTCTAGGCTCTGGCACACTTACCTCCTTTATAAATCAACTCTAGATGTTTCCACAACTTTCCATGCTGTCTGTCAAGTTGACCTGCCTCATTCTGCCAAGTATTACCATTTCCTTTATATCTTTTCTCATACCTGCACGGGGCCCTTCCAATTTGGGAAATGTGTGCTTAGTCGTTCTTTTCTCCTTCAAGCACTTGAGAAGATACCTGGGCATCAGAAGCATCTGAGACATGCTTGGAATGTGAATGTGTACATGTTTAATGACCAGCTTGGCTGTGCTTTCAAGGACACATTTGAGTTTGTTTAAATATTCAGGGAAAACAAAAGTTAAAAGTAGTGCTGATCTTGGAATTTAAAAACAATTCTAAGCTCAGTATGAATGTGTTTTATGAGTCAGGCAGTCTTTTGCGTGTATCTGCGTATCCTAGTGTGACTTCCTTTCAGCTATTGAGATTTATGTTGGTGTCATCAGAAAGTATAATTCTGTTGTACACATTTATAGCTTCATGATGCATGTGTCAAGAGTCCTTGTGTAATTATAGAATTAGACACCGAGACAGCACAAGATTTGGGGAGTAGTAGTGTTTATTTACTTTTAAAATATGGAGATATAGGAGAACAACTTTTCTATTTATCTGAAATCATTGTTCAAAATGCAGAAAGAATACTTCTACAAAAATGAAGTCTCAGGGTCAAAATATTACAAAGTGTCTCATTAAAGCCATTTGCTTGGCAGCCCTCAGTGGCAACCTTTGTAGATCCTTAGGGCAAGGTAGGGAAGCTCTTTACAGGCTTTTATTTAACAGCAAGAGGGGTCACACTCACAAGGTTCAACACAGGTGGAAACAGAGACCCCCTTCAGGTTTGGGGCAGGGTAGCCCTTGTTGAGAAGCCAACACGATGACACATAGGAATCAGGCACACAGCAGGGTGGGGGGCAAGTGTTGCAGCAGCTGGGCTGAAGGAGGCTGATCTTGTGTGGACAGGTGCTAGGCAGGCAGACTCCACATGGACAGTATATTTCAGAGGAACACAGGGTGGTGGCCGGGCCAGTGGGGACGCTATGGCATCCTTGCAGATAGGAATTACAGCCAGTCATGGTGACAGTGAACCAGAGTTTGTTGCTGAGGAAGGCGTTCTTACACAAAGCTGCCCTTGGAGGGCCTTTTATACCCACCTATTTGAAGGAACGTGGCCTCAGCCTTTGGTATGCTTCCTTGTTGGTGTTTGCACAACTCCACACAAACAACGCAGTGCCTTCTCTATCCGCCATGGGACACATACTCTTGGAGTTTTATTTGGCTGTGTTGCTTCACTCAAACTTGCTTCCTGGTGCAGCTTTTTCTTCTTTCTTCTTTTCTTCTTTCTACAAGACACATGGTGGTGTTTATGGATGGATCAGAGAGAATACTCAAATATTGAAGACACACAACATGATTGTGCTCAAAGACAGTAGAGCTTGCTACATATTTCCCGTACATTACCACAATATCATCTAGACATGCAAGCAAATATGAACATGAATGAGTCTTTAGTTTTACAAGGTACAAGTTATTTTAACTAAAAATTGAAGTGAATTAAAATGCAGTTTTTTTTTGGGGGGGGATGATATGTGGTCTGAAAAATGTGTGCTTGCATTTCTTTGCAAACCAGTGTGAAAAGTTTTTGCTTTTCATAAAAGTGAACCTACTGATCTGTCTCTTCCATTGTGCGAAGCCATGTTTAGTGCCGTCAATGATCTACACCTTTTCCAAGTCCCTTCCACTGTAATTCCTATAGAGTGCTAATGCTTCATAGGTTCAGTAGAGTGTGACCACACTAAAGGTCATTGGTTAGCAAATCTATTTGCTGGAAGTCATTTGCTCATTGAATCTCCACTATGTCTTGTAAAAGCATTTAAAAAAAAAAAGATAGTCTTCGTTCTGGCTAGCTCCCAAATGAATGAGACAGAGACTATAAGGTTTATTTGATAAGCTTTACAGCACAGTAGCTGAGCAGTCATCAATCTGTTCTATTCCTCTAAACTAATCTGGCTACCTCCCAGGCAAAATCCCCGAGATACTTCCATTTTAGTATTGGTCTGGCTCTCTCTTCTGCCCAGATATGTTCCCATGGAGTCTTTCAAACCCTTCCCTTTTGGCAAATTCTCCCTCTTTTTCTCTCTCCTCCTCTTCTGGCTGGGATTGGAAGTCCAGTCCTATTCTCTCTTCTGCTCAGCCATTGGCTGGTCAGTTTGTATTGACAGGTCAGAGAGTAAATGAAGAGCAATGTTTATGCAAGAGTCTCCTGTTTATACAGGAGATCCTTAGGATAAGCATCACACTGCCTTGTCTGGACTGCAAGCAGATATGGGAGCAGATATGGGAGCAGATATGGGAGCAGATATGGGAGCAGATATGGGAGCATACAAATCAGCATTTGAATAAAACAAGGATAGTCTTTACACAGTACACAGTAATATTATGTCTACAATGTCCTAAAGGGTGAGGAGGAAGCAGGAAAATAGAAGATACAAATGGTGCCTGTCCTTGTAGGGAACATGATCTGATGGAAGCCACTAGTAATATTTTAGCTTATGATTCTAAAGACACTTAATCAAGAACTCGGTAAAGCTATGGAGTTTCAGAGCAAGCGATGAAGAAGTTTTAGAGTTCATTGCATTATAACTTACGAATTGTCAGGCCTACATGAAGTTAATTTATATGGATTTCAGTTTTTCAACTGCAAAGCTAGAACAAATAGTAACTCCCCACTATAGCCTTACTATGATAAAAGCTTCCAGCATTGTGTGTGGCAAGGAAAGAATGATTCAAGGCATGGCAGATGTTTCTGAGGCTGCTATGAGAAATCCCATAGGTGAAAACTCTGTGGTGGAGGACTGGAATAACCAAAGAAGCTTTTGTGGAGGAACTGTGCTATGGTCTTTTAACAGAAGTGTTTAGAAAGAAGTGCATTTCCTGAAAGAAAGGCAATGGCTTCCCCATCAACACTGCCCTGCTCCTACCTCCAGCCCTTAATCCTCATTCAATTGGCCACCCCTACTCTTCTGCCTCTGGTGAATGCCATATCTACCCATAGTGCTTTGCTGCATGGCTTGGTTCACATTTTTTTTTTCTAGGTTACAATCTCTTTCAGAACAGGGACATCTTATTCATTTTGGTATCTCCAGTCCTAGCCGAGTGGCGAGGTGATGGGTGGATTGTAGAGGCTATCAATGAGTAAAAAGTGAAGGAAGGGAAGGTATCAGACAGGGGTCAGTGGAAGCTATTGTGTGGTGATTGTGTATCACCGTGACTCAGGAAGCAAGCAAAGGTTCAGCCTCATGCGAGGTACTTCAAAAAAGGAGAGTTTTAATGTAGGATGTTTGGTAAGTGTCTATCAGAGGATTGAAACACCCAAAGAAGGGAAGTTAGGGATATACAAGAAGCAGCCACCAGCTCTAAGTCAGGAATAGGGGTGACATTATTGTTATCTGAACAGAGATTGGAGGATTGGGCGTCAGCACAGAGCTTTGCCTTCTGGGTGCTGAATGACAGTATTCTTATAACCATGGAAGTTCTGATCC